ATGCAATGTCGCAAACCTGGATACCGTATCAGACTCGGTCGAAGGCCTGCTTTACGTCTATAAAGACTCCATAGCAGTAGTCTTTGTCGTCGGAAGCCTTAAGAATATGGGTAATCACTCTGTGAGCCTGATCAACAGCGCCATGCCTTCCTTTGAACCCAAATTGGTGATCAGGAAGGGTGGCCATGTGATCCATAAGCCTTGCAAGTCGGGCGACAATCAGTCTTTCCCAGACCTTCGACAAGGAAGGCAGATATGACTCAGGGTCATATTCCGGCTTGCCCGACTTATGGATCATGTGGATCCTCGCTAACTTCCACTGGGCAGGGAAGTGGTGCGTCCTTAATATGGCGTTGAAGATCAACGTTATTAAAGGGAGCGCGCGCATTGGCAAGGCCTTCAGGGATGTTTAGCATATTTTATCATGGTCTGGTGCTTTAGCCCTGGGAAGGACTTTGACGACGTTGATCACCTCCTCCACGCGGATGCGGCCTATAAGTGGTGACATCTGAAGCGCAGTCTCCAACGCTCGGGTAGTCTCATCAAGCTCTTCTGGGGAGGCCAAGTGGAAAGGTGTATACTGTTCCTCCAGCTGGTTGGCGAAGGTGTGCTCTTCGTCTGTCTTCCCCTTTAACGGTTCTCCAGGGTTGGCGCTTCAGGCTTTTAGTTGCTCGCCAGAGGGAGCATCCTAAGTCATGGGTAGAGTCCATGCTCTGCAACCTTCTGGAGAAGGATACGTCTTTGAGTCTGCCAAGGGCCTCCTTGAGTTGCCGCTCCGCTCTTCGGCACTCCGCCTTGTCCCACGGATGCTGTGTTGTCTGGAACCTGCGTCTGCTCCGCCTTTTGATCCTGAGCAGGTTGGCTATGTCTGCGGGCAGCCCGTTGCCAGCATTGTCCAGCCGCCTGGCAACTGGTGGGGAGGTGGCTTCGGTTGCTGCTGCGCGAATCTTTGCGTTGAGCAGCTCAAGGGCGTCCTCTACATCCCGTCCAGTGCAGATTTCGGTGTTGAGGTGAATACTTTCACTCATCTGTCTCTGGAAGACATCGAGATCGGTGTGTGTGTGTTGATAAGCCTCGGTATTGCGCTGACCACCCTGGCCCTGCTCTCCAGGGTAACTATCAGGGCCAGGTGGTCGCTCGGGAGATCCCAATCGTCGCCAACTGAGAGGAGCTGGTCAGGGATCCCCTGGTAGATGGCGAAGTCTATGCAGCACGGAGTGCCTCTGCTGCCGTACGGGTATCTTGTGGGAGAACCTGTGGCCAGTACCTTCGCTTGACGATGCGCTAGGCTGCCAGCTAGTTAAAGGCCGCGCGCACACATCTGCTCATTTGGTCTGCAATAGACTGCTCCAAAGTCCACGTTACCAGCATCAGGGAGACTTTTGCAGTCAAATATTAGTAAACACGTTTAGCAATGCTCAATTGCGGGTAGTAAATCAAGTTACTCCGAACGAGGACAGCGCAGCCACCGCTAGCTGAGCGATTTTGAGTCCAGTGTAGAGGGTATGCCTCGAAGCCAAAGATTCTAGGGAAAGTAGGACCGTTGGTTCAAGTTTCTGGCAGCAGAATTATTCCGATTGCGTTCATATTCTCTGAATTTCCAAGCATTTGTTCTATGCTGGTCATTAAGAAAAAAAACACTCAACGATTTGCTATTTTAATCACGCAAAATTTGGTGAAGTCACAACTTTAAGCATTTTGGAACGCGAACAATTGAGTTCTTTCACTCTAGAGAATTTTCCTACAGAAAGCTTGCCAAACTGATAAATCGCAACTCTAGCTCAGTTGATCGATGGAGATCAGAATAGAGAGGAAAAAAATGCCTTAAGTTCTCAAGAAGACCCTAAAATTCTTAGAGCTGCATCCACTCAACTCTGTCGTTGCCATCGATGTCCGTGTATCCAGTTAGTCATCGGAATGAATGAAGAGTACTTTTCGTATTGCCTTTACCTCCGCCTGAAGAAAACTGCTGTGGTCCGGGAGGCTTAAGGCTTTCCTAAAACTGGTTTCCACGGGGGGGTTGCCTCATTCTTCCTTCAAGAAGATAGAAGCGTGGAAAAGGGTAGAATTATGCTTTTAATTGGGGGTCGCCTATAATATATATTGGAATGACAAAAGCGAAGCACTGAAAAGGCAACGCTAATTTTCACCAATAGAAGGGATATGACTTATGGCATCCAGAGCGTCGCTAGGAGTCATTCGTAGACCCCTTTTGAGGAGATGGTCGGGAGAAAGCAGAATTTTACTTAGATACTAGGCGGACCAGGATCGGCCAGGTATCAGCCATGTAGAACCAATGGACAATGTGAGGTGTCATACCCCTCTTCAGTCGGATAAATTTTCTCAAGTATAGAGGGCGACTGTCACTTGTCTAATATAATCTTTCGTATTAAAGTTCGAGTCCAGTTTCTGTCAAGTACTAGACCTGATACTTTTCTGACTCTCAAAAGGAGAGAACGTTAAGGTGCTTATGATCCTATACGTGTGTAGTGAGCTTAAAAATCAATAGGGTGGATTGCCTTCCTGGGCCGCTTTGTTTCACAAGCACCCTCGTATGTGCTCCTAGGGTTTTCATCCTTTTGTTATTTACGGCCGAGCAGGGACACATGCTTTTGCATGTATTATAATGAGTGAAGACTAGATTTTCGACATATGTGCAACGTCCCGTTAGGACTTTGGTTTTATGCTTAAAATATTTCGCTCTTTCGGCTTGTTGAGAGTGGTGCGATAATTGCTGTGTTCAACGTTGGGATGCCAAGTTTTGATTCTCGCCGCTCCTATATAGTAAAAGTTTTTGTTTTCTTTGCTCTTCCCTGGGACCCACGATACCCGGATTGCCTTCTGTTTTCCGCCCAGGCTGAGTGGTTTCATATATTTTGTTTGAGAATAGGAAAAAAAAGCCATCTGAGTAAATCGAAACTTTGGTGCTTCTGAGTTCCTGTTAAATGAGAAGCTTGCTGACTTAAAATATTGCTTAGATTTCAGTCTGTAATACGGTCGCAGAGTCTTGCTGATGGTTAATCGACTCCACAGGCCATCATAAAACCGTCGGTGTAGAGGGAAACCTCGCAAGTATCTAATACCGAATCCCTATCCAATTCTTGTCTAAAAAAATTTGTCAATGTTGGCCCGCGAAATTAACATAGACGTCGAATAGTTTTTGGGTAGTCTAATCGAAGAATTTCCATCGAGGAATTTGCGTATACAAGCAAAGCTCCACAGCTTTGACAACCCTGTGAAAATACATTGGGAATTCGTTGGGGTGCTTCTGCCGAAGCAGAGCGTTACTGTCAAAGCAGTCGGATCAAAACTAGAGGCAGCTAATAAGAAAACATGGTTCGTGCTACGTAGTGGTGCAACTTATCACCAAAAAAGTCAAGAGTTCGCAAAGAAGGGATGCACTATTATGTAAGACGTGTACGAATTTTTTCCCATAGGTTTAGAATGCCTCATAGACTCGGGCACCACTATATAATTAATAAACAATATTATATTCCTAAGGGAGTAGAACTCCAATCACACACAATTGAATATTTCGGGCTAAATGAAAGCGATTTAAACACACTTGGAAAAATTTTATGTATTATAAGAAACGATAAAAATATATTTTTATTTAATAGTGGTGTCTTACGAGTTTTTGCGGTGGAAGGAGGTATTGGGGAGAGATTTTAGAAAAAATTGTGATTTAAATATTAGATTAAGTTTTTTGGTCAAGTTTACTGGAGACAAAAAGAATAAGTAGTTACTCACACGTATATGCTGGACGAACAGGTAAGTGAAGGATAAATTGTTAGAAAATAAATTGAAAGGAGAGAGATAAGTAAACGATAAATTGTTATCAGATAAATTGTCTACAGATAAATGTTTAGAAGGTATATCTTAGCCGATAGATTGTTTGGTAGTAAATCGTTAGAGGAGAAGGAATTAACAGAGACGGAGATGGTTAGTACAGATCAAATCTTCATTATAGAAGATGAGTCTAAAAAGAAAATATTACAAATAAGCATTATAGATACGGAAACCAGGACTACAGTTGTTTAAGCGAAGCCATTAAGTTGCTGAAAAATAAAAGTAACAATTAATGTTGGGCGAATACGCTGGAAGTGGCATCATTCAACCCAGTAGCTCCTAATATGCTTCCGCAATTGTTTCAGTAAAGAAAAAAAAACAGGAGATCTAAAAATGTGCATCGACTTCGGAACGCCGAATATAAGCTTGATTAAAAACAATTATCCGTTGCAGTTAGCCGACGACTTGTTAGATAGTCTTGTAGGTTAAAACTATGTTTACTAAGCTTGATTTGAAAACGGAAATTTTCATATTTTTGTTGATTGGGAATCTATAAAATATTATTCTTAAGGATAATTTGAATTTTTGAGAACGCCAATGGATTGAAAACGGCGTCTTAAGTATTTCGAAGAATTGTTAATAATATTTTTACGGACATAATAAGGGATAATAAAATAATCGTATATATATATTGTGAATACTTAAGCGTTAAATAGAAAACAAGTTAGAGTGGAGGCTGGATAAATGCGATTTTATGCAAACCCTTATCAAATATTTGGGATTTTAAATTTCTGAAGACGACATTAAAACTGATGGGAACCAGATGGGACACCAGACACATTTATTAGTATTACTATACTCCTCATATATATGCAAAATCCAATCAACATCGGACCACTATATCATATAGCTTCCATGGGAAAGATTCTTCGAAAATTAAGTTGTTGTATGGGAACCTTTTTTGTTTTTCAAGATATCTTGACCGCACTTGGCATTTATAAGTTACACTATGCTCCCTACAACTATGAAACATCTTATGTACATCGGAACACTATATAGTTTAGCTGCTGTAGAAAAAATCGGTAGAAAAATAGGATCTTATATGGCAAAATATTCTATATTCTCGTTTTTTTAATGCAATTGTTATTTAACTCTGAAACAAAATGGTCCACCAACTTATGTTCTAGTTTTTTAATTTTTTTTTATTTCAGGAAGTCGAAGAACGTTTTCGAAAGGCGATGATAACGAATGCCCAACTAGACAACGACCGCTCATCTCAAACGTATGAAGTTAAGCTACTCAAAGATAAAAGTGAAACAATGGAAGAATCTTTCGCGCAACTGCAGCGAGAATTCAAAAACAAACTTCGCGATTGCAATACCCTCAAACGAAACTTGGACCGCACAACACTGGAATTAAGCCTAGTGCAAGGCCAGTTAAGCGAGCGGGATGCACTAATAGAAGAACACGGTCTTATTATTGTTTCCATTGAGAATAGTGATAGTAGTGACGCCAAGCGGGCTCTAGTGAGTGTGGAAAATGCCAATATTTTGTCAACCGTACAGGGTTCTCTTGGTAAGTATGACTGAGTAAACATAAAAAGCTATGATTAAAAACTATATTTTCAGATGTTAGACTCAAAAAGTTTGCAGAGGAAAAGCAGCGACTTCTGAATGAAATACAAAAGCTTCATGAACAGTTAGGTGCATTTAAAAGTGAAGGTAGAGTTGGACGCGGCAGTTTATTGTGTGGCTCTTTAAGGTACGATGATGACTATGAGGTTCAACGTAAGTCTAAAATAAAGTCAAATAATAGTTTAAACTTATCATAATTTAATATGCATTCCACAGGAGAATCAAATAAAATCATATCAGATTATAAATATAAGCTACAAAAAGCTGAACAGGAAATCGCTAGTCTCCAGGCTAACTTAGCACGATCGGAAACACAAGTTATACGTTATAAAAGCACGGCAGAAGCAGCCGAAAAGGCAGAGGCTGAACTGAAAGTTGAGCGCCGTAAGCTGCAACGTGAGGTAAGAAAGAAAACGTTATTGTACTCTTAACAATTTTGTCGTTTCGAATTTATAAAATTTTTTGGAAATGTAAGCAGCAGGCAGAGACTTGCTGCTAAGATTTATAGTGCTTCTAAAATTTGAAATAAGTAGCGTCTCCATTGTTTTCACAATAAAAGAACACACAAAACTTCTGTGGGTTTGTAGAAGAGGCTTTGCCTGCTTTGGGTAAAAACACCACAGCGCACAAGCAACAAAAACACTGCAGTAAAGATTTTTTCAGCCACTTGCTGATGATATTTGCAGCATGGATTAGTTGGACTGGCATACTTTTTTGTCCGTTTTTTTTAGTGAACAAGCAGAAAAAATAGAGCTCGTGAGCAATTTAATTGATACCAGGCTTGAAGTTATCCATGAGTCAGTAGGGGTAAATTATGGATGAAAGTATGTCTAATTGGGCTTAGCAACATCATTTGCCACCATTTCTCGGCACAGTTAAATTTTCCGGTTGATTAATGTCGCTTATTTTTTGCCGAAATTATGTTTTAACTACAAGTAGCTTTTGTATTTGTCCCCAGGTCAGACAGCTGGCCTCCAAGGCTCCTGGATGAGGAAAAACAGGTCCAACGCTTAATCTTAAGTTATATTAATAAATTAATCATTCAAGGAAGTACGTTTCTCTTAGCAACTGAATAACATTTTCTCAAAATCTTTACACCAGCCAATCACGCCCACTTGAGATTAGATTTTTTAAGATCAAGAAAAAGTTTATGATCCAAAATTTTGGCGCACAACGTGAGAGCTAGTGTGTAGAAATTAATGGGTAAAGTTATGAAAATTGTGGAATTGCCGCATGTACTTCGCAGTGTGGCATCTTAAGCACATCGGTTTCGTCGAACTCTTTGAATACATCATCAACAGCAATATTTGGCCACCTTCATTGTCTTCTCTGCACCCGTTAAAATGGGAATCGCTTTATTCTCGTTGCCTTTGCTTCGCCGCTTCAATTTCGCTGCCTTTGCTTTATTGCTGGAAACTGCCCACTCGCAGCATCTGCTTGCTTTCAGCTGCTGTTAAAATTTAGGCAGTGAACTTGCATTTCGAGCTTGCATTTAGAAAAACTATCGCTCGCTCACATTGGTGAACGCAATATTGACATGTCATAGTTGGTCTGTTAATAGTTCTGAGCATTTAAAATGTCGCTCGATCACATCGATGAACGTTACAGTGTCGGATTAAAGTAGGTCTATTATCATTTTGCAGTATTAGAACTATCGCTTGTTCACTTCGGTGAGCAAGCTACATTCTCGTTACAAAATGTCGACTCTTGAATCAAACTTACGCAAGCGAACGAACATCAAACGAAATTTCGCGTACTTAGAGGGTGTTGTACGAGTGTCTACTGAGCCCGATGGCAGCGAAAAAAGATTGTCACTCGGGGAGCTACAACTACGCTTGTCTGTACGATCTTAAATTAAATTTGAAGACACTCAGGACAATGAACATGCCGAGGTAGGGGACACATTTGTAAGCATTAAATTGTCCATCCAATCTCAACTGAATGATTTACTGCATATCCCCTCATTCGCCAACCCTGCTCCAATTCGCTTTTCGCAAGCCATCGGGTGTTCCGCGATTGGCTTTAAAATGAAAATCTTCAAATCATCATTCAACTTGATTATCGGTCGTGAGTACTCCTCTTTGAACATTTAAAAATCTAATCATCTATTGAATTGTTTGAAGGGTTCTGCCCTAGTGGCGATATAGGCATTCCAAGTGACTAAGGAAAATTATCCCAAAGCGCTTGCTCGATTAAATTAACGTTTTGTAAACCCTACAATTACATCAATAATAAGAATAATGCGTAAGCATTGTTCTCATCACCATCCCACTTGCCCAAGCCATGCTGATATACATTGTCATCGGAAAATGTGACCAGCCAACTAGAAACAACTGGATCGAGTCTCTAGATTAATGCATATTGCCAAATTGCAAAACCATTTTGAAACGTCATTGTCAGTTTCTGCAATCAAGCGCATCGCATCGTTACGTTTCGAATGGCTGATTCCTCTTTTTTTTTTGTTAAAAATGTATAGATATTTTATTATTGACCAGATCACTACTACCTAATATTGCTTAAGCTAGTTATACATCAGGGGAACAAATTTAACAGGACTTACTACTAATTAGTCTAAGGTGTATAAGGTTAAGGCTATAAAGCGAAACGTTTTTTATTCTGCTGATTATTATATTACGTATTTATCAATGAGATATGTCTTATAGAACCCTGTTAGGTAGATCAAGTGGATGGCGCCGTTTAAGACTTATCATTTTCGCTCTAGAGAGACAGACTCCTGTAATGGGGCATCTTATTCTTGTTCTTCCAGGAGAAGTAAGGCGCCTTGCTAGTGGGTTGGGATGGAAGTGAAGGCGCTCAAAGTATCTTTTCACATGCTGACGGATTACGTCTCCTACTTTGGGAACTCCTAGGTCTCTCTCGATGTCCCTAGTGTGCATATACCAAGGAGCATTACTTATCCTTCTAAGAATTTTAATCTGCGCTAGTCTTATTTTGTTGAGGTGGGATTTTGCGGCAATCTCGTACATTTATAGTGCATAGGTCCATATAGGAGTCAGTATTGATTTGTAAATCCTTACTTTGTTTTTAAACGAAATCTTGTTTTTAGCAGAATGTAGCCATGTTATCTTTGTAGCTTTAGCTGAACGTGAGCTTTCTGTCCAAAATGTTTTAAAGTGGAGCCAAGCAACATTACCCTTGCACAGGACTCTCTTCTAGTAGCAAATGTGACATTTTCACATTTCCTACTAATAATGCTGATGTTTCTTTCTAAGGCCCCTGTTTTGAAATTGGCCAGGCATTCTTGTAATGCATCTGTAGCATTGCCTATTTGAGGACTCCTGGTCAGCACAGCAGTGTCATCTGCATATGTGGCTATAAGTACATCCTCGCTGTCCACTGCTGTAACCACGCTGGTTGTTGGTATGTCAGCTGTGTAAACTGTGTAGAGAGTGGGGCCAAGGACGCTGCCTTGTGGGACTTCGGCGCATATGGGTCGATTTATCGACTTTTCACCATCGACGACTACACAAAATGTTCTATGCTTCAAGAAACTACTCACTAAATGGAACAGTTGGCGTCAATAGGCTCTTTAATTAGCTGAGAAGTCTAGGGTGCCATAGTCTATCGAAGGCTAGCTGAATATCCAGGAACACTGCCACCACATATTCTTTGTCCTCCATGGCTTGCAGTGCAAAATTGACCACTCGGTTTAGTTGCTCCGGGGTTCCGTGATGTTTCCGAAAGCCAAACTGCCACTTTGAGATCGCCTGTGTCACGCTTGTGAGCTGCAAGATACGGTTCAGAATAACCCTTTCCAACATCTTCGCAAAGGCAGGGAGGAGGTTGATTGGTCTGTACCCGTCTACGCCTGTTAGCTGCTCCTCTGGCTTAGGGATCATCGTGATCAGTGCATACTTCCAAATCTTTGGAAAGTGTCGTAATCGGAGAATGCTGTTGAATTAAATAACTATGAAGAGCAGCGCTCTAGGAGAAAGAAGTTTTATAGTCATATTATCCAACAGGTTCTCGCCTGAGGTCTTTTGACCTTTAAGAATGGGATTTCCAGCGATTCCTTGATCTTTTTTTTCTGCATTCGGATGCGAGATTAATTGGCGTAAACCGGCTCTCCAGACTATTTGCGAAGGTTTTGGCTCTCTACTGACTTGTATAGCACCAGCCACCTGTGAGATCCTTGATTTGAGCCTTCGGGATAGCTAGTCTCTTAAAGCGGCTTTTCATTTTCCAGAGCGAATAGTTTGTAGATTTATCTGCTCCTGCGTCGACCAGAAGTCGATCAGTTTGAGACTGCTTGTACCCGTTTAGGACCTTTTGTAGATGGTTGGCAAGTCTTTTATAGATTTTACGAACACGTTCATCACCCGTTCTGGCATATTCCCTTCTGACTCTAAGCAAAGCAGAGCATTAGTGCTCTGTCGGCAGCTGCACTTCCCTTCGTTGATTCGGTTGTTGCAGCGTCTTAATCGAAGCGCAAATTGCTGTTTGCCTTATGTTTTCAATGAATATGGAGATTGCGTCCTCAATGTCCTACGGAACGCTTAACTCCATGTTGAGATTTATTCTTCTGTCCAGCTCACCTCTAAACGTCTCAACAGAGGATACAGGTGGGAGGAATCGTTGCTTACAAGACTTGAATTGAGGTGTGTGATGCATTATTGCCAGTATGGGCAAGTGATCGGAGGAGAGTTCATATAGCGATTGAACTGTGAGGCTATCCCAAGCAATCCCGTTAGTTATGAAAAAGTCCTGCGCAGAAGGCGTGTGCTGGGTGTTGTACGAATAAAACGTTGCCTGTGGCCAGGACTTGGCATGAGCATCTGACTATGGATTCCTGTAAGCGTTTCCCTCGAGCACATGTGCTTACGTTGTCCCACCATGGATGTTTAGCGTTGAAGTCCCCCGCTGCAATGAATTTGCTCCACAAAGTAATCAAGATATAATCAAAGTTCGCCTAGGTCCGTGATTCCTTAGGTGGAAGATATAAGAAAGCAATTTTGATGTTTCAAAAGTTTGTGTGTGCGCGATATGGGCTTACTCTGACAATGACGAACAGAAGATCGGACAATGTCCGCGGCGCCATCTGTGCAGTTACCACTGGGGTGATAAGCATGGTAAATTTTATAGCCGGGCAAAAACCATTTGTCTATAGTGTGGGCACTAAGGAAGAGCCTAAGTTCATCATTGTTCTTAAGTAAACCTCGTGCGTTCCACAATCCGATTTTTAAATGCGGGTTGGTCATTTGGATTTTAGGGAGATAAGATGCTGAACCAAGTCAAGAAAAGCTTTGTTTGCTTCCATCGTCTCCTGTATCAGTTTGAACATTTATTCCATTCTCAAATTTAAGTCCTGAATTGATTTCTCTAATGAGTGGATCTTTTTACTAAATCCTCCGCAGTCTTTTTATATACTATGTTAACTGTT